GCCCAAACCTGAGTCATGAAAGCTGCTTTTTGCTCATATGTAATTATTTTAAAATAACTGCAGCTTAAAAAAGCAAAAACCATATTTTCTGCTGCACTTGCAAAAGAGCTCCAGATTTTCTGCAAGAGGGAAAGCAGATGATGGGGGGAGCTGTTCTTTTAAGAAAAATGTCATTGGCACAAACAGCTGGCACTTGGTGACGTGTTATTTATATGTGCAGTTGCTGTGTTTTTTAACAGATAAGAAAGCATTATCTCATTTGTGATTCAGGTGAGGAACACGAGCAGCTCTGCAGCGCCTCTGGCTGCTGCACCACGTTCCTTATCACATCAGAAACATCTGTCACTCTGCAAATGAGTCCAATATAAAAGTGCATCAAATGTGCTGTTTCATGATGAGACAGAATTCTGCAAGGAAACCTGAAAAGCAGCCATCCCCTGCAAATGCTGGGATGGTCTGTGCCATATTCACCAGTTGGGATGAGAGCAAGGACTGGGAGGGGGAAGGGGGAGAAAAAGAGAGAGACCTTGGAAGTGTCATGATTATAAATGATCCTTTCTCCAGGAGCCAACTGTGCCTGAGAACAACCTCGCCTGTGAGGTTCATGCTGCAAAATGATTATCACATCATAAACAGATCTGGCTGAGTCCTGGCTTTGTGGAGGACTTTACTCAAGAAAACGCTGATGGGCTGGGGTAGGAAGGATGCATGGTAAGGTGGCCAGCATAAGGATTACCACCAGAGCTGCACTTGCAGGGGCTTTGTTTACAAAGATGGAAATGAATCCGTTTTGAGGGCAGCTGAGGATGAACTGGAAGGAGCTCCCACTTCCAGGGAAGGCAAGGTGTGCCTCTAGTCCAAGCTGAGGGGAAAACCAGGGCATGCTCATGCACCCCTGTTCATCCCTGCAGCAATGCTGCACATGGCACAAAGTAAGAACCCAGCAATTCATCATATGCACCAAGTTTTCCTCTGATGGTGTTCTCCAGAGAGCTGGGCTGGGTCTAGTACTCCCATGAGAACAAGGGCATTTTTGTACTCCTCTTTAGCAAGGAAAAAGACAACTCAAGGTGGCTTCAAAATCCCTCATGCCTAGAAATGCCTCTGTAGCTCTGGAAGCAGGCAGCTGGACTGAGATCCCCATCTGTGTCACACTGAGCGACTGCTTCCTGCTTTGCCTTTGGGCTTTTATTTAAAAATACAGGAGAAAAATGACTGTTTCTTTAGCCCTTGCTGAGAAATCCCTTGAACTTCAGCTGATACACAGGGGAAAACTAAGGACAGACTCTGAACTGGGTTATTGTTCCTTTAGCCTGTGCACAGCCACACACATGCTGCCTTTTCTGTCCCATCAAAGATGCCCCTGGTGACCCTTTATGGCTGTTGTACATCCAATTGTGGATGAAATGTGAAACATCCTCTTTTTTCCCCAAGGAGTACTCAAATCAGGCATGCAACTTAACAAAAATAGGTGAAAATACCTATTTTAACTTTGCTTCTAATCAGAAAACATATATCAAATATGCATACATCAGCAGAAACAGCAGGTAAGGGCTCCCACTCTAAAACAAACAGAAACATGCACTTTGAACCCTCATATGAAATTGCAGTAAAAGCCCAACCCAATAATTATTTTCCTTGATTTTCAGCCAGACGAGGCACAAGACAAATAAGTCATCAAGGACAAATAAAAGGAGGTTCATTCATCGCATTCAGGGCTGGAATCTTTAATGGTCACCAAATGAACTAAGATAACTAAGTAACCATTGTAAATATTAATCTTTAAAGGAAAACAATACTCCCAACAACAGGAAGTCTGATAAGACATTGGATGTGGCCATCAGTGTTATGGAGTCTCTCTAATTTCCTTAGTTTTTTCTTATGCCTCTGGAGGGATCAGGAAGGGGACCATATGGTATCTCTCAAAGGAAGTAAATTAACATTATTAATAGCTAATGTGGGAGAGGTGAAACAGTGATTGTTCGTTCTGGTTGTTATTGTGCTTTTGTTGGGGGGGAAGCCTGCCTGCTAGTAAGCTTAAGCACTCAAGCCAAATTCAAAATCTTGTATTTATAAACAGAGATCTGATAACAGTTGCCTAAGCATCCATGATGCTTTGCCAGCGCACGCACATCGGGCTGATCCGAAGGGCCTGTCCTGGGGTTAGCTCACACAGGGACAGCTCAGGCTGCAGTCCCTGCTCCCAACTAATGCCTCACAAGGACCTTCACAATCTCCTTTGTGTTGGTTTAGTTTGGAGCAGAAGGACAAGGATGGGCAGATCTGCACTTCGAGGGGTGCAGGCATCCCTCTGGCATTCAGGGAGGGGATCAAGGGGCCACAGAGGAGGTGGGCTCTCACAGGCAGTGGCCACCCTGTGGGACAGCTCCTTTGGAGCTGCTTTCCAAGAGTTCCTCAGCAGGGTGGTATGGAAGTGGAAGAATTATTGTGTTGGGAAGCAGTGATAACAAAGTGCTGTGTTAGGATTGATTGAATTGGTGACTTGGATGAATATGTCAGAGGCCTGGGATCCCTTGCACTTTATCTGCACTACAAGAAGGATTCACCTTTCTTAGGCCTCTGCTGGTATCCCCCAAATATTTAGAAGGTGGCATTTATTTACTGTAAATAATATTGTCACTTAACTTATACATTGTGGCTACTTGAAAGGGTGAGACCCTGATGTCAAACTCATCTGTTTGTCCCAGAGCACCTGGGACCATAAAATACATTTTTCATTTTTTTTCAAGAGTACCTATACTTTCTATTTTCTTCCCAATAATGAAAACCTGAGGCAATTTCTAGCTGGCCTTGCAGAAGTGGATTTTATGACACCTTACATGTTGAGACAATCTGCAAAAGAAATTTGATAGATAAAACCCAGAGGAGTTGATTGCACTTGCCATTATCCATTGAGCTAGGTATATTTTAACAAACTTTGGGGAAAATGTTCAATAAATTCCTCAGAAAGAAAACAGTGGAATTTGGTATAGTTAACTCACTGGACCTTAATAAAAATTGCGTAGCCTAGTAAGATTACCTCATGCTTCAGGGCACATGGTGATTACTTCATAGAGGTAAAGGAATTCCCTCTGCCCTTGAAAGCTTATACTTCAACTGCAAGCTGTCAGCTGGAATTTGATTTCTAGGCCTGAAGAGGACAACTTGAATGTTTTAAGACTATACATACTTCAGTTAAACTTAGGTGGAACTGCTCTGTAAGAAAACCCCTTCCCTACCAGACAACTCCACTTGCAGAGAGAAGTCAGTAAATTCTGATTAAGTTTGTGTCTTACATCTGGTCTAAAATACCTCTTCCTGGTTGATGATGGGATGTTTTATTTCTTAAGAAACTCATCACATTGACCAAGAAGTTCATGAAAGGCTAAAGAGATGTGCATTGTTTCCTGGCTCTATGGAGTCATATGACATGGATAAATTGGTCTCTGTGCTGAAGACTGAGTGGTTTATAATGTTGTGAAGTTTTCCACACTGCAAATTTTAGGGCCCCTTTGTATTTCAAGTTACATAAACTTATAATAAAACTGTTGTTCCTTGGCTCTGCAGAATGGGACTTTCTGCTCCATCAGGAGAGGGTTGGTTTCCAGACAGAAAAGGGAGGATGCTTTCGTGATAGCTTAGGAGAAGACATTTGCATAATGTCCACAGAAGTATGAGGAGACAGATGTTTTGTAAGGACAGCTCAACAATAAGGAAAAACACTAACTCAAAAGAAATTTAATGTGTCAAGCCAAACTCTCTAGTGATTGAAATACTCTTTAAGACAGCAAATCTGCCTGTGTTAATTATCAATATCAGTATGATGATATCACCCTGATGATTACAGCTCATTAGAGTGTGGTCACACATTTGTTTCTTGTTCCCTGTCCCCCATCCTTGTAGGGCACCAAGTGTGGTTGTTTGGTGGTGGCAGATGAAGACCACTCTACTCTAAACCTACCACAACCTCAAAAAGCAAAGCAAGTTACAGTGCATTCCAGGGAATGATAACACCATGTCCAAAGGTTTGCAGATCTCAAGAGGCCCTGTCGTACCCCGATACCAGCGGGGTCTTGGAGTCCACGTGTCTGTGGCAGCGAGAGAGAATGAGCAACACTGGGCCATGCAAAGGTCACAGGCACACAGTTAACTCCTGCACAAAGCCATTGCAGCTCGTTCCCTATCCTTATCATGTAATTAATCACACTTTGTGTGAGCTTCAGGAAGGAGGGTGTTGTCTGGGGCAGCTGCGATAACTCGGTTGCAACTTGGACTCTCCACCCAGGCAAGGGATTATTGGAGAAACCCAGCACTGCCTCCCTCCCCACCCTGGACCTTCTGGCTTCTGGGAGGGCACAGAACCCATCCCTCTTCCCTGTTGGCACACAGAGCAAAGGGCAGACTTGGCTCCTGCCCTGTTCTTGACCGGAGCAGCAGCACCTGGAGAGAGGCCTCAGGTGACGGTGTCAGGTTATTTGTGGTAAAGCTCAGCAACTTGCTTACTAATCTCTGGAAAGAAGGGGGAAGCAGAGGAAGGAATTTAACCCCAGGTGCCTGTCAGTCAGCTGGCACAGGCACACAGTGCCTCCCAGGGCCACCCCAGGGAAGTGTGCCTCCAGGGCACAAAGCTCTCAAAGCCAGGGCGTGTCTCTGACTGCCACAGGACAATTTATAGGACAAATATTGAGGATAATTAAGGATAATCTCTGCTTTAGGTGTCTTACAAAGAAGGTCAGGTACTGTCTTTCCTTGTCAGATGTGATGAAGTCAGGCAGTTCCCACAAGGAGGAGGTATTTGTTTCTCAGGACAAGTAAGAATAAAACCCCTATTTAGACCCTAAGGGTTTCCTAGATTTAATCATCTAAAAATTTAGACAAGATCATTACAGTGAATTCTGTCTCTAAATAGCCATAACAGTGAATTACATTACCAGCATCAATCTCCCTCTGGTACATGCTTTCCGTACTGTTCTCATGCTAGCAAATACAGAGAAATGCTATAATGCTGATGTCCCCAGCTCAGACACTAACATCCTTTCAAGCAATTTGGCAGGTCAGGGTAGATTAGATGGTCACATGAAAGCAGAGGAGGAATCTGCCCTGGCAACTTGTGCTATTTTTTCTGTGTTTAATCTGATGATTTCATAATATTTGGTCATAAGATGTTGTTTTGGACATTCAGTCATTATCATGACAGGTTTCTTCCTAAATAGCCTTTGGGTAACAGATATTTGCATTGCTGGTGAAGTGGCAAAGTTGGGACTAACCAATTCCTGCTCTTGAAAGATCCCAGTATCCCCTGCTGACAGGATTTGAGAGGGCATGTGTTGCATGATCTCTTCTGCTTATAGATGTGACAACTGAAACCAGAGGAAGTCTGAGAAAAAGGCATGTTCCAGCCTCTGTTTCACAATCCTTGGGTACATAAAAGCCCAGTTACCAAGAAACCAGAGCAACAGCATTTCCCCACCCCTGTGAAGGGGGAATATTCCTTGGAAATATCTGTCTTATGCCACAATGGGCAGGATTCTGGAGGACCAGTAGCCAGAGGAGGCCAATGGGACTGTGGTCAAACCAAGACTGTGCTCATGCAAGAGAAAAGTTCTGTGATTTCTTTGAAAAGGCTGATTCAAAACATTGGAAAAACATGTGGCAACACAGCACTGTTAGAACTGAGCCATTTGCAGCACTCCTGACCCAGCAATCCCCTT